GCGGGCCTGTGGGATACCATGTTTAGGTGGGGGAGGGCCAGGAACAGCACAGAGCCAAGGGGCACAAACTCATATGGCCAGAGATCTGCATGGTCTGCACAGTCAGTGTCCATGGATCTCCAAACTATGAGTAACTCTAACCACATTCCTTGCTTCTTCCACATGTTCACAAGCAGGGCCGGCTCCAGGCACCAGCTTCTCAAGCAGGTGCTTGGGGCGGCCGTTCCGGACAGGGGCGGCAGTTCCAGGTATTCGGCGGCAATTCGGCGGACGGTCCCTCACTCCGCCTGGGAGTGAAGGACCTCCCGCCGAATTGCCGCCGCAGATCGCGATCGCGTCTTTTTTTAGATCGCGATCGCAGCTTTTTTTTTTTTTTTTTGGTTTTGGCTGCTTGGGGCGGCCAAAACCCTGGAGCCGGCCCTGTTCACAAGCCTTCCTTTCCCTAAATGATACACAGTTTTTAAATTAAGTGCTCCCTTTCTACATCATTCTACATGAGTATGGGAGGATATGGCCTAAAACGAGCCATCTATATACTGTATTGAATCGGTGACAGCCCAGGTTTTCACTGTGCTGCACACCATGATCACTTTGAGCTCCATGTTAGCAGGGGGACAAGTCAGATCCTGCTATTGCAGATGTACAGGCTGCTACCACTTAAGCAACAGGAGATACTTTTTGAGCTGTTAGCAATATAGGGCCTATGACATATGGTTGAACAGTTCTGATTCCATTCAGTAGAGGGCAACAGTGTGTGTGTGTGCTTGCTTTCTGTGTTAAAGCTGATCCTGGGCAAACTCAGGACATCTACTGAATCACTTAATTGCAACCTTGCGATTACTGTAAACACACTGATACAATTCCAGGAATCAGTTAATTTGCTGTGGCTATTGTTTTGTATCTGGTTATTTTTCACTGCTGTAAAATAACACCTGTATGTGTATATGGATGTATAGACATCAATTAAAAATGCACACACATAAAAACAGAGCACCATATTAAACAGTGTAAATCGATAACATGAAAATGTAGCCATTGACAGCACTTCTAATTTAGCCTGTTACAATGGTGTGCCATTTCTTTGAATGCAACACACTTTTATGCCCCATTAAAGCATGGCTGACATAGCTTTCAACTACTCACAAATGCTGAGATGTTGAAAAACATAACATTTACAAAAGATACATCTGGTGCATATTTATAAGGCTCAGAATAAGGACTCATTTAAATAGTGCACGTGCTATCACCATATTAGGAGAAAAGTTACTCCAGGCCCATATGTGAAATCAGTAGTGAAATGTGTGCTGACTTAAATTCCTGGTATATGATATTGTATGTCTCTGTGTTGGCCATACTAAAACAAGAGACTACTGAGCAATGTATGCCCTTCTCCAACTGAGCAGCATATATGTGTCAAATAAATGTCAATGTGTGTAGTGTAAATCTACATGGGCAGAAGATGGTCAGTTGTTTTGAGAGGCAAATATTTAATGTTAGAAATTTATCTCTGACTTCTAATTAAAATACGTCAGCATTTGTTCTGTCTATTCCTCTTCAGAGAGATAAGTGAGAACTAGTTAGAAATCAGGGAACAAAATATTATGTGCTTTGTGATGTGGATGATGTATTAAATTAAATAGATGAGCAGGATATAACAGCCTATTTTATATCACATAACATGTCGAGGAGTAAAAAAATACTTTCCACCATTTCCCCCAATACAACATGGCACTTGAAATAAACCAGAAAGCTACATTTTAATTAATGTTATGGGTCATGTTTTAACCAGACTGAACCAAGAAATTCAAGGTTAAACTCTGGGGGTTTTTTTGGTCTTATGAACATGAATTAGGGAGATAGCATCAGACTTCATTGCAATTTCTGGGTATCTAATTTAATCGAACCTAATGTGGGTTATTGAACCCAGAACTGACGTATTGGGGTGCTAACAAAGTTATTTGATGCAAAAGTCACTCTAGCAGGACTGTGACTTCCTTACGTCACTTCAATGTAATTTTAAAAAAATTTATATTTATCTTCACTGGAGGAGTTGCCAGAGTATTTTCATTTTATGTTAGACACCCACACTTAGAAGGTTACCACAGATGCACATGCAGTTTGCACAAATGCTGTTTTTGCACATACTATGTATCTAATTACCAAATTTGCTTGCACAAATTTAGGTTTTGATTTAGCGTGGGCAAATGAGAGAGTGAGGACAATTTGTATATGCAAGTATTGCGTCAAGGTCAAGCCCTTGGGCTCTCATAGCTCTACATTTCTGACCCAGTAGTGGGAAATATCACCCCATTGTCTGATACTACATCCTTAAATCATGCATGTCAGTGACAAGAGACTTGACAATAAACCTTAGGGTCCTGCCATCAGGGACAATCATCTTTGGCAGGTTCAGGGCTTTTGGTAACATCAGCTGAGGCAGACTTGGCTAACTATGTCATACACTCGCCATTGCTAACTGATTGAGCATGATGAGATTCTGGCTAAACCCTTCTGGACAATGGACAACAGCAGTACTGAATATACCTTTGTCCTGCAGTGTCTGAGAGAAGCTGATATGGGAATATATAACTAAGCCACAATATCCAAGCATACTATTTCTCAAGATGCTCTATATTTATATTTATCTATAATTATGGGCTGCCAGTAATTATTACTGTTACTATTAATAATAATTATTAATATACTTATTTTTAAGATGATAGAGTTTTTAGGGTCAATACATATTTTGACACTCATATAGCTTTTGAAGAAGGATAAACTGTAAAGATGAGCTGGCCTATTGTGATATTTGTTTAATTGGTTAGATTCTTACCGTTCCTTTGTAGCTTTTATGATCTATCATGCCAGTCTGGCAGCTATGCATGGGCATTATATCCACATGCCCACCAGGAGCCAGATTTTAATCTTAGATACATGACATGCACTCATGCTGTTTTCACAACACCTCTATAAAGCTACTTTATTTTAAGAAGAACAACTGTCTTCTCCCTTTCATCCCCTCAATTTAAGCCTATAGGTGTGCCAAGATAGTAGAGTGCATGGTCCCAGTTGTGTCTAGGTGTGTGCCATGCATGGGAGATTAGAATTTCATCTGATATCTGCAGGCTAAAAATCACTGTCATATTTTTCATTCTCTTCGCCATTTTTATTTTAGGGTGTTTTTAATGCACCAAATACAATCCACTCTTATTATGGACTCATCAATTTTGTCAAATTTCATTTATCTGTGATGCACAGTGCAAGAGAAAGTCTTCTCAATCAATAAACAATTTTATTTTTGTACATCTTAAAAATTATCCAAAGTGATTTTTTTTCAAAAACTGAAAAATAAAATTATCCTGAGTTGAAATTTTATAAGTCAAGTTTCAACTAGGAACAGATTTTTACTGCCAAGATATATAACAGGAGTTTTTGAGAGATCCTTATCTTCAATGCTATAGTAAAAAAAGCATGTTACACCCTACACTGCATCATTCGTTAAGCAATTAAGTTACTGATAGGCTTTTACATTTATTTACCATGATGGAAAGATATGTTTACTCAACCTGAGTACAAATCAACATGAGGAGGCGGAAGTTCAGAGTAAATTTGACTAATGATGTTGTGTTTTCATCCTTGGAAGAAAGAAAAAAGCCTCTCTGCTTTTGATGCTATTTTATCTCCATTGGAAGGGATCTGAAATGATCTGAACTGTCATGTGAGAGCTCAGTTAAGCTCAGATCCTCTTTGATTGCATCTGAATGTCTCTCGCAGTTGGCTCATAACTTTCTTATATGAATACAGCATCCCACACTTCAGGATGTTTATTAAGCACTTTAACTTTTCATATATTAATGTTCTTTTAAGCAAAATATAGGGGGAAACCTTTGCCACAAGGAGAAATTTTAATGCGGCCTCACTGTGGAAATGGCAATTAATTCCATTTGAGCATGACTTTTAAACTACACAACTGACTGTTCTAAGTTATACTTCTGAATGAACCCTAATGATCTATTGTTTTCTTATAGGCCGCGACAATGTTCTCCAGCCTTGTCTATATGGATTTCAAAAGCTCTGTGTCTCCAAGTAACGCTTCAGCATCCTTTGTGATGGGATCTATTGTGTGTGAGCATCATCGTCAGTCTCTAAGACAAGTTTTTTTTTAACTTTCAATCTTTGCGAAGAGATTGCTAGATCTCAGTCCAGAGCTGCTCTGGGTGCAGAACTACTCCACTGAAGAGATCGGTGAGCAGAGCAGCTGTAAAATATGGCCCATATTGAGGGCATGTACTGTGTACTGAGGAGTGGGCATTTAAACCAATCTCCATTGTAACATAATTGATGAAAAGCACCTGCTGTCAGATTCTCAGATGGTATAAATCAGCAGACCTCTATTGATTTCAGTGGAGCTGCAGGATGCTGATTTGTACCAGCTGAGGATCTGGCCTCTGAATTTTTGTGAGTTCAGGTTCTGCAGACAGACGATTATGATCTGACAACACTGTATTGCAACTCATATACTGCCACATCATGCCCAGAGAGTCCTGTGCTTTGGGATCCCATTCCGAAAGAGGGGGAGAAGCTTGGATTCTGGTTATGATTCTTTATAGTAAGAAGTAAGAAGATAAACTTCTCTTGTTGCATCTATGCTTAAATCCAGCCTTCCAACCAAGAGGTTAAATTCTGTGTTCCTTATTCAGACAAAACTCTCTTTGAGGTTTACGGAATTAAGAACCACAGAATTTGTCTAAGAGCTGTTGGATCATACCCCATTTCTGACCTCAAAAACTTTTTACTTTCATTTCTGGATTTTCTTTTTGTAGAGATTGTTTCCTGCACGAAAATGTGTGATGGTTTTGTGATGTGGAAAAATGTTTACTGGGACTAGTTTAAAATGACATGGTATTCCTTGCCTTTGTGATCTAAGCCAAATTTGAACCCAGGTATTCATTCCTCATTTGAACACAGACATTATCTTGTTCTACAATCTAATCACTTATACTCTTGTATAACTTGTGCTGGAAGCACACTCTGGTATTTTGGCTCTGAAATGATTTCATTGTTAGGCTGAGTGTGACACAGATGGTATTCTTAAATGTAAAATTCTTTTTATGATTCTTGCAATTTCATACTTATTTCATTAGCTCATTTATTTATATTAAAGGGACATCATCAACTTGAAATCTGCTTAGTTTAAAAAAAAAAAAAAAGGTTGAGAGTAGTTTTAGGTACCTGCCTCACAATCTGCCAGTTTTTGTGGTTTCACTACCACATTTTTTTATTTTAAAAATGTTTTTGTATCCCTAGCTGCAGTGTGACAGATTCACACAAACAGCAAGGGGAAAGAGTCTCATTTAAGTGATTATAGGTGAGAAGCAGTGAAACTGACTATGCGCAAAGTGCTGTGAAATGCACAAAGTAAAGAAAATGAAGAAGATAAAAATAATTTCTTTTTGCCAATTTCTTTTAGTTTGACTAATGTTAGGTGTTACTTGTAATAGCAGTAGGGAAACAATTTTCAGATAGAAATGTGATTTCTATCCAAAGTTGTCTCTTTAGTACACAAATATAGTTATTAAATAAACATTAATTATGATAGCTGCAATTACTCATTCAGATCAATAATCAGAACCAGGAGTGAACCAAACCATAGCAACTTTATTTTCCCATTAAATATGATGTGATTTAAAATAAATTCAGATAGCCCTAATCATTCAGCCCCATATGCTGGAAATGAAAAGTCACCTTAAACCCGATGCAGACTGTGAAAAAATGGGAGAAGAGGTGTTCAAAAGATACAGCATATGAGGACAGATCCTCAGATGGTGTAAATTCGTGCTGCTCTCTTGAAGTCAACAAAGCTATGCTGATTTACCCCAGTTGAGGTCCTGGCCTGTCATTTTTAAGTCCCAGGTGTTATGGTGAGTTTGTCCATGGGGTCATATACTGATCCTGTTCATTAAGGTAAAGTTGTGAATGTGATATTTTTCATTTTAATCAGGACAAGAGAAGTAAATGCTGTCAGGAAAAATCTAGTTTGAGGATTTTGTTTTCCCGGAAACTGGGGTCTGTTTGCCTGAATTGTATGGGGTTTTTGTTTTGTCCTGTCTGTGTTCAGTGGGCTGAATCCTCCTCTGACTGACATCCCTTGCAACCCCACTAATTTTGATGTCTGACAGGTCTGTTTTAATCTGTTTAATCTGTTGGAACTCCCACAGCAGGATCTGTAGAAGGTTTTTCTTTCTGTCCCCTGTCTGAGGTGCAGACTCTATTGTCTGTGTGTTGGGGAGCAGGGTTCCACTGTGTTAGAAAATCTTTTTGGTTCAGGCCCAAGGAAAAAGTGATAAAGAATTAAAAGGGAGGGACTATAGCTATGGTTAGTGCTGAATGCTGCTACTATTGCGCCCTATGCACTCAGCAAATATTTAGCCTCATAGCAACAAGAAGCTTTTTTTTTTTAATTTCCAATGTTAAAGGGTAGATTGTATCTGGCCACTGCATGTTTGCACAAGTGTAGGGGAGGGCATGAAAAGTCTTCACTGCTCTCATTCAGTGGCTGGGAACAACTGTCCCTAACAGCAGGGACAACTGCTCCCTTCTAGTGCTCCTGAGGCACTAGCTACCCCAAAAGGGAGGGGGAAAAGAGGAGATAGGGTTAAGTTCCCCATCCCTGCACATACATGCAAGCAAGGGTATGCTGCACCCCTTTAAAGGCTGTAGTGGAGATATGCTGTCCCTGTAGAACAATGGTGAGCTTTGCAAGATGTTTTTCCTACGTAAAGCACAATGCCTCCTGTGCTCTCCCTGGGGAAATAAAACTGTGCAAAGCCCTTTACGCAGAGTAGTGCCTATCAGGTCCAGCAGCACTCTAGGACTGCACTGGAATGCACACTCAGGAGAGAGCTGAGCTCAAGTTGTGCTGGGGTTCAGCTGTAACTTTGGTATTTCCTGATGTTGCAGGGTTTTACTCTGAAGCCTGAACATTCTTCTAACAGTTTTTAAAAAAAATGAATGATGTTGTTATACCTCCCCAACTGAGTAGAACTAGCTGAAGCTCGAAAGGAGGTTCAGTCTAGATGCACACCCATATGTTCGGATGCATATCTGAACCTTGTCTGAACTGTCCACACTGCTTGTACTGGAAAAACTAGGCTATAAGCGTGATGAGAATAGGCTTTCATGCAAGATGTTTAGTATTCATTTGGGACAGAAATATTGCAAAACCAACCTATGTGGTTTTGCTGCCTTCAGTCTTCATCTTGAGTGAAATTATTAAAAACAGAGGTGCAGAAAATAAAAATAGCGGGTGAGTGAAGGGAAGTTAATCTCTGTTTTTCCAACCCCAATAAAAGTTAGATTAGGGTTTAGTTTAGGCTTTGATTCAAATTTTAGTGGTGGTGGTGATCGAGGAAAGAATGTTTTTGTTTTAGCTGAATTGGTTCATCCATCCTTGACATGCTTATGGTTAAGTGTGTGTCCACTTCTATGATGCAATGTAAAAAAAAGTCTGTACTTCTTCTTTAAGAGCTATCCCTTCTGAGAAAATTAGGGCTGACTATAATAGCCTGTCTCTACTGTATTCAAGAGAATGTGGCATAAAACTAGTAGGAAGAGAGAGGATTTTTCCAAAAATGTGCTTCTGTGGTGAGTCTTGCTCCTCATTGTCATCAAAAGCAGGTGTATCATCTCTGTCTGTTGCCTGGGTATGTTTCTGATTGTTAATTAAACAAATATATTAGTAAAATACAAATACTGGGTGACACTGAATTTTAGCCAAGAGTTCTATCCTTCCTCTGCACACTGGCGATTTCTTCTCTAGTACTCCTGATTCAGATTAGTTTATTTCTTAGTGGCACCATAATCAGTGAAATTATTTCTATTTGTTTTCCCATTACAAAAGTTTCAGTGTCAGTTAATAAGTGGTCAGGAAAACAAAGACCGTGTTTATGGAACAAAATCCTCCCTTTTTTGTTGAATGGTAAATTAATAAATGGTAATTAATGATAATTGGTAATTGTAATTAATGGTAATGGTAATTAATGGTAAATTAATTTAGGGATCTAGCTAAAAAACTGTAGCTAAATATCCAGACTCCACTCTGGCCTGAGTGATCTTGGGAGATGCACAGTGGACAGGTGGGGAGAAATTTCCCTCTCAGGCCACAGTATAACTTTGGCATTGCTCCATGAAGCTACGTCAGCCCAGTGAGTGACATTGCCTATGAGGGGCACTCACACTGCATCACCAGTCAGATACAGTTCTCCTGGCCTCACCCTGTTCTCAGACTGCCCATGCTCTGTCCCCTCCCACTCCCTTCATGCTGTTGCACAGACAGTATCTTGCTCACATTCGGCTTGTCTTGAACAGCAGAATGATTCCACAGCACAGAGGCCCTTGGCAGTTGTAAAGGAGAGGCCTGGATTTAGACATTAACATACTAAGGACTAAATTCAGTCCTGAGTTAAAGACCCATGATGCTTCACTGAAACCATTGGGGTAGCATGGAATGACTATCAGGGCCAAATTTCCCCTAACAATCTGAGTTACACATACATACACTTTGATCTTCTCAAAAAGCATGTAAGTATGAACTGACCTTTCTAAAAAAAGCTGTGAAAAAGCATATTGGCTGGGTTTAGAGAGGTGTACAAACTAGAAAGCGGGATATAGACAAATGTGCATTTTTTCCTAAGAACACATTTGCAGCTGGAATTCTACACAGCATTATAGTTAGAGGAAGTAGATGCGATTATAGTGTTCAGTGGCAATATCTGTTAAGCTCCTTCCTAACACATAATGGGATGTGAGGCCATTGATTTTAGTAGTCCCCAAAACATTATTTCCATTGAAATGCCTGCTCTTGAAAAGTTGCAGTCCTTCATGTATATGGTGCACAAACGACAGAGAGTTGTGTTGTGGCTCCTTTAAACGGTATTAAAGTGTCTGTAAAATAGGCACAATGTCCCTCCACTTTTAGGAGTACCCCTGGCGTATGGGGCCTCTCAGCCAGCCATAGAACCAGTTTAGCCACCTCTCTGCCCTCTGCAGGCAGGGCATTTCTGTGCCCCAGCTATTCTCTGGTAGTGCCATGGCCCATAGGAAGACCTTAACAGCTGGAGCACTAGCTAAGGCAGCCTTCAGTAAGGCTATGTCTACACTACAACCTATGTCGGCATAACTTATGTCACTCAGGGGTGTGAATAAACCACCCCCCTGAGCAACATAAGTTACACTGACTCGTGTGCACAGCGCTATGTCCGCAGGAGAGCTTACGCTACTCATGGAGATGCTTTTTTTATGCTGACGGGAGAGCTCTCTCCCATTGGCATAGAGCGTCTTCATCAGACGCGCTGCAGCGGTGCAGCTGTATTACCGCTGCAGTGCAGTACGTATAGACAGACCCTAAAACTTGCTCAGTAGAACTTAATCAGCAAATCTGAGCATTGAAGGCTGAAGTGACCCCCAACAGCTCCAGGATAGGGGAGGTGCAAGCTGCCCTTTCCTTCATTGTATTTGTTTATGGCTTTGAAGAAGCGTATGGATATTGGAGAGGACAAATGTGGTTAATGATATCTGACCTGCTTTGCGGTGATAGTGAAAAACTTGGAGACACTCCTACAGTTTTGTCCACTTTGGACTCAATCGTGTCATTTGTACTCACATTAAGTGTACTCTACAAGTAGTCCAATTTTTTTCAATAGGCCTGCTTGCAAAAATAGGCCTTGATCCTACAAACATTCACCTGAGTGCTTAACTTAGATCCATTCATGGGGTCTAGACACATGCTGAAAAGTAAAAGGTGCATAAGTGTTTTCAGGATCAGGGCTTTCGAACTTATTCAAGCCTCAGTGGAAGCGAAGTTGGCAGAATACGGTGGAGTGGGGTGAGAAAATTAGTGAACACAAAATCATGATATTTACTCAGTTTATGCGTTTTCTACTTTTTTCATGAAAACCTGCATACAAAACAGGCACGTAATTGTTTTGCTAAGTGAGCCTTGAAAGTAAGAGTCTTGATAGCTGTTAAGTATCTCCTTTCTAGTACAGTATGTTGTCCTTATAAGCTAATCAGTAAAACTTGCTCAGTAGAACTTAATCAGCAGAACTGAGCACATTGTCAGTGCTTAACAAATAAAAGAATGATAATAATAATAATAATAACATGAGCTCCTTTTAACACAATCTATCAGACTTTTGCTTTATTTCGAGGAGGGCTTTACTTGCCTCTAGTTAACTTAAGAATTAATATTTATTACAGCTCCATTTACAACAGCCAAGAGGAATTTGAGTAGGAAGGAAAATATTGATGAAAATGAAATTTTGACAAATATCGGAAATGAAATTCAGAGAAAATTCTCATGCTGTTTCACCCATCAACCAACAGTGCATTTAGTATAAGGTTATGAAAGAACAATACTTTTCATACAAGTAAGTGTCCAAATTATTGCTAATAAAAATGGATCTGGACAATTGTTTGAAATGTAAAACACTATATTTATATGTGATTGTTATTAGAATTACTTTTGATCTCCTGCTGTTCTCTTCTTTAAAAGTTAGATTTGTTAGCTTTTCCTTAGAATGTTGTGACTTATATATGTTATAAGAGAGGGATTGGATGGCTCAGAGAATTGGTAATGGATCCAGAGCCATTCACTTCTGCATCACCCCTCTAATTTAACACAGGCTGGCAGTGACTGAAAGTTAATCTAATGGCTGTTTGGTAGTTTATGTGAAATCGATTCGTGGTTTACACACAGTTCCAACAGGACAAGAATCCACATTGTAAAAAAATCTCTGGGCCAGATCCTTGGCTGCTGTTAATCATTGCAGCTCCAGTGATTTCAATGGAGCAATGGTAATTTACACCAATAAATGGCCGTCTATCACTGCTGGCACTAGTTAACGTGTGTTGTCAGGCTCAATACAGATGACAATGATTCAGTGAGGAGGAAGATTATGGGCAGATTCTCAGCTGGTGTAAACCAGTGTCATACCATTGAAGTTAAGGTAACTATACTGATTTACCAGCTGAGGCTCTAGCACTAAATGCCTATAGGTGGACATGTCAGGTCAAGTTTGAGCCACAGTTAGAGTTGCTTGCACCACTGATGTTGCGCTGTACCGGGTGTTTGACTATAAAGAGAACCTTAATATTCAGGGCTGTCAATGAGTGTTAACTTACAAGCAACAAAATGTACTCATTTATCTTAAAATCTTGTGGAAAAAATCTAGGGACTAATTCTACACCCATTGAAGTCTGATGTGTGTGAGATATTGTGGTAAAATATAAGTGAAAGTCCTAAGTAAGTGTTATGAGAACTGTCCTTTTCTTGATATGTGTACATTGTCCTAACAAATACTTGAATGTGAGTTGCATATGTGTGGTAAGAAGAGAAGAGGTCCCTATGAACACAAACAAACTCTGCTCATGAAAAGCAGCAGTATTTTGCAGTGGTAGCCACAAATGCTGCAATACCACTCCTGGGGTGAACACATATTTATTAAATAACCATTTAATGTGAAACAATATTGTTACCTAGATTTTAAGCTCTCCAAGGAAGGGGCTTTTGGTCCAGATTTTAAAAGATATTTAGGTGCCTAAAGATGCAGATAGGCATCTAATGGGATTTTCAAAGCAGGATTGCTGCTTCACAGTTGGGGAATATGATCCCTTATTCCTTATACTCATATTTGTCTTTAAAAACAACTAGCACATATTTGATTATATATATATTATAAATATATTAAATAACAACAGGGGTTCTAAGAAGGACTATACAAGTAATCTAATAATGTGTGTACTACTGAGGACCCTTGACACATACATACAAATTCTTATGAATGAATATTGTATTGTGATACCCTAACTATATGAATTGCAGATTGAGTCCTCTGTAAGCTATTCTTAGTGGCGTCATTCAATGGAAATAGGGAAAATCCAGAGAACGGGAAGGTCCTCAAACACAACACAAGTGGATCATTTCCAATCATCATCAGGTGGGAGCGGGAAGGATTGAAAACTTGCACAAGAGTGCATGCCCTCTGAGAGTGTCAGAGTCTGTTCTGTTGTGGACTATCCCTACTGCAGGATTTTGATGATGGGTGTAGTTTTGGGAAGGAGCAGGATTAGGGAGTGGTTGTGATAGCACAGAGTAAGCGTCGGCAGTGGGTCTACCATTGTGTAGATTCACTGACCATTGATCCTTGAAGCATAAGGATACAGCAGCAGGGTTGGTGCTTCACAGCTGGGGAGCAAGGGTCCTTTCCCCCCTCCTCAGTCTCATCATCAAGCTAGGTTACTCAGGTTTGGTACAGGAGAAAGGATTTGGTTCAGAATGAGTAACTGTATAAAGTGCTTCTCATGTAAAATATTAGCTTAATTGCCTAGTAAAAATATAATGATTTTAAGAAAAGTCAGTAAAAACATATCCTCAAAGGACACACCAACCTGAAGACTATAGGAGAGTTTTAATTAAAATAGTAGGTAAAAAAAAGTGTGATGCAATATTATTATTTCCTAACATATCAACAAAGTACAAATGCCCATTTTTAGTGCAATTTTCTAAATGAAAAAGTAAACATTAATATCTTCAGAGATCTTACTGATCCAGTATGATAATTTAGAAAAATATCTCTATTAGGGGTAGTTATATATGCTTTTTGTTGGAAATGCAATCACAGAATGTGCACATAACTGCAATCTGTAGACAGATTAAGTAAATTAAATCACTCAATGTCTTTTTTCAATAGCTCTAAAGTTAAAAGTAATTTGCAAAGAAAATACTCAGTTTCAATTGGTTTGTAATATCTGCTAATGATCTTTGGAAAAATTTCTGATAACACACTGGAATTCCCTCAGGGACAGGATTTTGAATAAGTGGATTTTTTAAAAGTCTGAGATGTCATTAGCTAGTGATTTCTTTGAAGTAAAAAGCTGTTAAAGAATAAATTGCATAGGTATACAAGTGAACAGGACAATCATTTTTATGAATAATATGCATTTTTCCACTGTGCTTTCTGCCGAGAAAAGAAATAATTCAAAATATAAGCTGCTAACTGATATAAATATACAGGAATCACAACAGTGTAAGCATTTTGTGCTTATTTTACGCATGTATTAAATCTTTACATATATTTAGAGACTGCTGGTGTAAAAACTCTATTGTAGGGAACAGTTCTGATCCTTTTCACTGGTTTTATCTGGTAAACAATTTCCTAAAACTAGAGGGCCCATTAGTGGTGACTGCATAACTCCTCTGAGCTGTCGCAGTTCTTCAGCAGCCCAGCTCCACCATTTCCCTGGCAACAGTGTATAAGACTCCTCCCCCAGTGCCATATATGGCCTATCGTGTGGTCAAGGGAAAATGGTACCTCCTCTGTTGTTCCTGCATAGAGAGATGGTAAAGGGACCCAAGCGGTCTCCCTCATTCAGCACCAGAGTCTGCTGACATCTCCTAAATGGATTAGATGGGAGCACTGGCCAGAAGCCCCCATCCCCACCCCATGCAGATAGTTGGAGAAAGAGGAACCACACAGGCACTATCGACCCTCCAGCCCTCTCCCACTCACGAACACCTGTTTCATCCAGGTGCTCACTGAGTTCTCCTCCAGTCCTTGGCCCTCTTTTTTCCTGGCCTGCAGTTCTGTGGGGGCTATTACAGCACCCGGATTGCTGCAGCCTCTGTGACTCCTGTGCAGGGACAGAAAGGAGACAGGATATGCACAACTGTGGTGAATGGGATGCAGAGACGTACTCTGCATAAGTTCTCTAGACTTTTCTGGGCCTCTGCAGTTCCTGTATACAATGGCTCCAGACCTGCACTAGCCTGTCCATCGTCGGTCAGATCAGATGGCTGTTGACCTTCCATACACAGGACTTCTGTGCCACTAAACATTTGTTTGAGGAATATTGGAACCTATTCATTGATATACCTGATCAGACCACCAATGGTCCATCGAGTATGGTGTCTTGACTCTGACAAAGGCCAGTACCTGATGTTTCAGAAGCAGCTTATCCCTCCACATAATGCACCTAATTGTGCAATGCTTTATCATGAGGACAATCTCTTCCTGACCCCAATTTGTGACTAAAGGCAATGGGACTTGTGCGACTAAGTCACTCACATTTTTGAAAATCCCACCCAAAATGTGAAAACAACCGCACAAAAAGAAGTTACTTGCCCAGGGTCACCTATCAGGTTTGTGACAGAGTTGATTCACGGCAGGGGCTCTGGGAGGTGAAAGTCCTCCCAGAGAGGAGGCTGCAGTGATGCAGGGTATCTGCTTTATAGCAGGCCCATAGCTGTGCAGAGCAGCCACAAGAATGGTTAGGGTTCAGTGCATCTCTGGCAACAGAGGTCTTATGAAGCACTGGTCACAAGCAGTTCTCCAGATGGAACCGTCCTGGTGCAAATATTATTTGCACCCCCATGGGGTAGCTCTCCCCCGCAGCATAGTCCTTGTGTTTTTAATCTCTTCTCATGAAATTCCCCTCCCCTTTGCTTTTCATCATTTTTATTGCCATTCTCTGGACTTTTTTTTATTTCTGCTATCTCTTTTCAGGGATGAGGTGACCAATCTTTAGTATTCAAAGCGAGGATGTGCCACTGATTTATATAATGGCATTTTAATATTTTCCATATTATTCTCTAAAACTGTTCTTCCTACAACCCCCATAAGATTCTCTTTTTAATTCTTTGAACTACACTGCCTTTTAACATCTGTAGTTTACTCTGATCAGATTTTGACAAAGGAATAAAAGGCTTCATTTTTCACATAGGATTTTATTTATTGTGTGAACTGTAGAGAAGAAATTGGTTAACTTACCATTTAAAATTCATGGCAATATAGTTACAATTGGGCAAAAATTTCATTATCAACCCTTATTTTAGTGACATATATTTCCTGTAAAAATGTAAGCGAGGATGAAAGTTGGTATACAACGTCTCAGCTCAAGAGTGTGTTTTGTGCATGTATATTTTGTCATATACATACATCACTAGACCGTGTGCATGTAAATTAGGCCAAATTGAGTCCCCTGTATGTGCTTACTATACTTATTGTTTTTTAAAAAGGTCTATACTACATACCTATTTATTCAGTTAACCAGAAATATAGTTGAATCCTGATCAATGGATAAACTCATTACAGCAACATTTTATTTTTCCACCAGCTGCATTCCTGCTATAAGAGGTATTCAAATAAGAGGGCTCTAACATCTTATGAAATATCTTTTGGTTTAATATCTAGAAAACATTCCTTTAACTCTTCTGTAACTGAATCAAATTTTCCCTGAAATGTATTTTTAGGTGCATTAGAAGTTTCTTTTTTTCTGGTCTCTAGCTCCCTTACATGTATTTCTGAAAATACGTGCTTATTTATCTGAGAGGTTCCAAAGGTAAATGCATCTTTCCCCACAAGCATAAACATGGGTTAAAATATCTTTACAGTACTGAGGAAGTTGTTCTGGTTTGTTGGGTAAGTAATACACTCATTAAAATCATTTGGGAATGATTGGGTTTTTCCTTTTTAAAACAGTTCAAACAGGAAACAAAGACATTGACACTCACAAAGACAGGGAGGGCTCATTCCAACTCCCACTGGAAACATCCATTGACTATAGTGGAAGTTGGGTTGGGCCCAGAGAAAATAAATACATTTGAGTTAACAATGAGTTTGTGGCACAAGCCAGGAAAATTACAGACTCACATAAATTAGCAACGTGCAAACCTTTAGGACATCCAGTCCAGCTCCTTGCCAATGCAAGATTGTGTCCTATGGCATATTTTCTAGTGTTTTGTACATCTAGATTAAATGTCCCAAGTGATGGCGCTTCCCTAGGGAAACTATTTCACTGTCTAATGGATCTTGCTGTCAGTTTTTTCCCCTTTCTTAATGTCATCCCATTACTTCTAGTTATGTTCCCTTGAACCTCCTTAAATAATTCCTTTCCTTCCTCGGAGTTATTTTCTTCAAGTATCTTTAGACTACTATAATGTTCCTCTTAGTTGTCAGTTAGCCAAGCTGTGTATACATATTTAGCTCATTTAATCTTTCCTGATAAATCAATCCCTTCTGTCCCCTGGTTATTTTTCTTGCTCTTCTCTCAACACCCTCTAGATTGTCAGTGTCTTTTTGGTGACAAGGTGTCTTGAGGTGCTGTTACTGCTCTGAATTAAGGATTGATTTTGCATGGTGCTGAGCACCAACTGTCTTTGATTTATACATTCTCACACTTTGGTGGTGACTGTCCTAAAATTCCTATACAGGCAGACAGACTGACAGAGAACCTTTTTCAAGATCATTCCCTTTCCTTCACTTTTTCTTATTCTGTTGGTCACTATAACCTATATGGTCAGGAGTGCAAGTAGGGAGGTGCCCTCCAGTATGCAGTACCGGCAAGAGATTTTTAGCGGGTATGGGGTACTGGAAAGACTTGGGGCTAGCTCCCCCCTCTGGAGGGGCTGGAGGTGGTGCTGTGCTCTGCTCCTTAAAGAACACGGCTATGGAGGACATTCATTCTTTAAATGGCTTTAACAGCACAATACATATGCTAATAAACTTAAGCAAAGGCTTTGTTTAAGTTTGTTAGCATATATATTGTGCTGGTACGTTGGTCAGGAGTCCTCAAGAGGGGAGGGGTGTGGGGGAAGGAAGGTGTTTAAACAGTGTTTCTGATTCTGTTGCTCCCCATTGGTCTGAATTATCCATGACACCCATACTGCATCACATCAAGTCCAAATCATTAGAGGAATGCCTCTGCCTGCACTGACCAGAGGATGGTTGGATTTTGATGTCAGCCCAGTTCTGCAGTCTTACAGGAATCAGGTGTTGTCCCCAGTGTACATAGAATTCTTCTTTGCAGCCAAACTAGTCTAACATGCTTTTTGTTAACTGGAACTGGAGCAACAAAATAAAGAAAACAAATGC